TGTTATTGTGCCTGTATGATATACACCTGATTCAATAAACAAAACTCTGGTCTGGTATAAATATGATATGGTGATTGTTGCATCGTCACGCCCAACAAAAAATATCCATACGCCCGCCTGATTGACTGCTCGCCCAACAACTAAACTTGAACCGGCCTTGATTTGTACACCTGAACCATCACTATAAAACGCCCTAAATTGGATATATGAACTCGTAACAATCACAATCACAAACACATGATGTGCTTTCGTTCAATCGTACCCGCTGCTGAATTTACAAATATGTGAACCAACTACGTACCATAAATAAAATAATAAAAATTCCTAAACCACATCTGGGTCATATTTATATATAATTGACCAATATATATGTATATATGTATATATATATACATATGCATTGCTATTAAAAATGTGTTAAATATGCAATAACAACGATTATAATTGCCACCAACTCGACGAACCAACAAACCAAACAACTAAATTAAATCCACCAAAAATGCAGTATAAAGCCACTGTGTCTGTCGATGATTCCCAAGGCCCCGAACGGTAAAATACTACTTTTTCCTTACACTTAGTTTATCTTAAAGAAGCTCATTTAATTACCATTTAACTTTATTATTAGACTTACATAAATTTATGTTTAACTTTTTAGTTAGTTCTTTTTATAAATATATAAGAAAAATCTTGAACATATTTTGCATCCTAATTGTTATTATCCTACCCAGAGCAATCGCTGTATCCACTCAGAAATTCTACACTGTACAAATAAAAAGTAATATAAAAGTATTTAACATTTTGCGAATAAATTAAACTGTAGAGCAAACTTTGATAATTAAACTTCTAAAATTCTACAATAATTGAATATGCGAATTTTTTAAAATGAACAAAATATAAAATATTGATAGTGCTTTGCCTTTGCCATTAAGTCACTATACTATGTTTAAACTTAATCTTTAAAAATAGTTTCAATTTAAATTTTAAAAGTATATTTTTTTTGGATACATCACATTTTATATACTTTACTTTACCTAAATCTGTTTTAAGCTACTTACTACTTTACTTATTGTATTTTGTGGTTTACATATGATTATTACAATATTGTTTTGCTAATTATGAAGTTAATTCATAACAATTTTATCTTAAAGCTTTTTATATATTTATTTTAAGTCTGTGTACAAGATTTTCAGGATTTCTTAATTTTGGCATAAGAAAATACTGTAAAAAAAACAAACATAAATTTATCTTTGCTGTTATGAAGGACTTGCCCATATATTTATTAAGGCAGAGTTTTATGTAATTTTGTACAAACATCTTAAAAATTGTTCATTTTACCTTACAACAATTCATTTCGTGTTTTTAAAGTTTACTGCAAAAAGTTTGTCATCATCTTATTTGCTTGTGTGTAATGTAATTCCTTCTGCATCCATAACCTTTTCTTAGGGGGAAATGGTTTTTCCTCTGTGTTACTTAACTTGATTACTTTAACCAACGGCGATATTAGTTTCAAAACTCATATCATAGCAAATTAATATAATAACACATATAAAACACAAACTTTTGGAACATCATCTATGCATTCTATTATTACTTAAATGTGTAAATTAGTTAGTTCAGTGTTTAACAAACAATTGACATAAAAATAAAAATAAAAAACAAATAAGTACATTCAATTTTTAACATTTTATGGTTTAATAATTAAAAAAATTAACGTCTTTGTAGAATATACTCATGTGTAAATGTTTAAAAAAAAATACATTATACATACATAATAATAAATAGTTTATACAGTGCCTTTGCCCGTATTTATTGCCAATACCAATTTATAATAGTATTTAAAAATTAATTTTTAGTTTGGTGGCAACTTTTTTCACCATTACCAATCGGATTGTATGCAAAAACCTTAAGCAAAGTTTTAATTGTCATCTAAATTTAAGCATATACCAAACAAAAAAAAATATTTACATCATTATATTAATATTTGCACAAATTAATTATTTTAATCAATTAATTTATTATTAGTACCATTTTAATATCATCGGACTTGGATTCAACTTTACAAATTATTTCCGAAATGTTGAAATATTTTGAAGAGGTACGTAAATTCAAATTTTTAATTGTTAATTAAAACTGTTTTAATTGTTCACAAAATTGTTTATTTAATTAATTTACACATTATCTCTTTTATTTCTAAATAGCGAGATGATGAAGTTGATGTCAGAGTTCTTATTCATCAAAGTCTTGCTGGTTGTGTCATTGGCAAAGGTGGCCAAAAAATTAAGGAAATTCGCGATGTAAGTAATAGAATTGTAATTCTTTTTATGCAATTTTTAGTTTCAATATATCGGTTAAGAGTTGCAAACAACATTTAAACTACATTAAGACTGAAAAGAAGAATTTGTCGTTAATGCCAAAAAATATACACTAAGAATTGTAATTCTTCTTATGTCGTTTTTGAGCTTAAATCTTCTTGTTTATATTGTATTTGATAGCATTTAGAACATTCAATTTTTTAATTTAATATTAATCTTACCAGCTAAGACCAATGTCTTGTTGTTTATTTACATCACTTAATCGAAATATTAAAACTATTTTTTTTTTAATATCTATATTAAGATGTCATAATATTGTTTTTTAAATAAGCACAGCAGTTTTGGTGTACGAATAAAAATTAGTAAAATCACCATATATACTATTTTAACTTATTGAAATCGAAAATGAAATTAAAAATATCTTTTAAGTTTAGAAAAAAATTAGTATGTTTACATACATATATAACGTATTACTAATATAACGTAATTACGTATATAATTTAAATTATGTACATTATCTACAGTAGATAGTTAAATGTGAAGGAACTAAATAAATGATGTTATTTTTTAGTGAGGTGTCGAAATGTAATGAACTACAACAACAAACAATTTTTTTTATATTATATTTTAATTAATTAAATTTTTGGCTAACCATACAGTTGTTTCGAGTATTGCCAAATACTCATCAACACTGGTTTTAGAATTATTTCTTATATTTAATTTTTTAAAAATAATTTTTTTAAACTGCAAGTACCAAGAGTTGATTTCGTACCCTGCCAAATTTGAAGCTAAGAGTCAGCGTTCATTAGCCAAGTGATCTAAAGTCGCACTTAACTTATAAGTAGTTAAATTTCTGTTAATTTGCTATGAAAGTTTATTAACAAATTACTTGCTGTGTTGCGATATTATTAGATTTTTATATGACAATAAATTTTTGTAGGTTCTTTTATTTTATCTAATGTTTATTATATATTGAAGTTTAGAATTTTTTAATTCTATTCTACTTACAAACTTAATTATTTGTGAATTTTTTAAAATACTAAATGAATTTTTTCTTTATTTTAAATAATTATCATGTTATAAAAATGTGATTGATTTCTTTTCTGCTACAAATAAAAAAATTAAGTTTTATTTTGTGCATGTAATATGTGCACTTCCTATTGAAGAACACAAATAATTCAAATTCAGTCGCAAAATTGTGGTCAACTGTATGATAAAATTGTGAACTGTAAGCATAAATTTTGTAAAGCCTGGTGCTTGTTTCGTGCTCATGGCTAGTTCCTTACTTAATGATATTATGAATTTTGTCATTATTGCCACCCAGTTGTTTGTAACCTGTAACCTGTTACCTGTCAACTTCCAAACTGTCCGATAGAGTCTCTACAAGAATATGCATATGCCCTTTTTACCTTGCGGTATTTTCACATATCAAATGTGTCTGTTGATGACAGCCATCCATGCACAAGTGTGGATAAATGTAAAGTTGTTGTTTTTCGCCTAACGGATATGTGTACTGAGCATACGTTGTCTGTCGTCTATCTTTTGCATTTTTTTTTTATTTATTTGTTTTCACATACGTTATTTTATTATACGCATCGTTGAGCATTTATAATATCTGTTTTTATATATCACGCATATACCATATACCATTATATATTAGCGAGAAATATACATTGTTATGAAATAGGGAAGAATTTAATTAATAGGATATAAGTACATAAAATCACCGTGTGCTGTACGATAGTTGTTAGTGCTAATTGCGCAATGTTCTTATTGTACTTTAAAATTTAAAATTTTGTAATAATAGTTCACAGTTTCTGTCAATACTAAAATACTATTTACTAAAATCTATTCAATACTAAAATCTATTAAATCGCTAGATAGATTTTATGGAATAGCTTTTAATTTAATGCAGGATTGTGTTTTCCACTTATATTTTTGTTGTAATAGAACTGTTATTTTGTGTTGAAAAATGCATGCTGACAAAACTTATATTAACACGGAAAATGTGTGTCCTAAATAATCATTTCATGCTAAATTCTTCACGCCATATTTGTTATAATTACAAAAATGTCATTTCACAATAGTAAAAATAAAATTGTAATTTTTATTAGCAGTAGCTGCATGAAAACATGTTCCATTCATATAGATTATATTTTGAACATGTAAATTTTAATAAAATAATATATTTAACTGTGGTAGGGTGTTGAAAATTCATATAAACTTAAACTTACAATACAACTATAATACATCACTATAGTAAATACAGTCATTATCTACATATCCACAATTTTAATAAGAAATGTATTGGTTAAAACGCTGATATAATTATTTGTTTAAGTATATTTATTAGTTTATAGCACTATATGTTGACATTAATCATTTTAAATATAATGAGAGATTAATAATACTCAAGGGATAGAAATCTATTAATATTATTTATGTAGTCATTACATATTACATTTACATATTGGCTATATCAATAGTCAAAAACAATTATGTGAACATTAATAATTGATAAGCACCAACATGAGCTAGGAGTAATAAATTATGTTTAGAATAAGAATGAATGTTTTGGTGTATCAACAGATACATTTTGTAGCAGGTCACTTTTAATGTAGACTTAATTTTTATAATGCTAGACTTGCGTCTAGATATAGTGAACTCTTGAAAGGCCTGCGTTCGCACTATCACTATATCAAGGTTGATAACTATTTGTTCAAAAAATCATTTTAAAAAATGCTATACTCACGTCTAGATATAGTGAACTCTTGAAAGGCCTGCGTTCGCACTATCACTATATTAAGGTTGATATTTATTTGTTAAAAAAATCATTGTATATGCTTAAAATACACATATATATAATTAAATGCAAGAGATCATTAGAAAAAATTTTTAGATAAGAATCTATACATATATGTATGTTTATTGAAAGAGTTTACGAATAGTTTTCTTTTTGGGTACAGAAAATAACTATTGAACCACTTTTGCGTATAGTTTACTCAGTGCTCACATACGAGCACTATTAGACTAGATAACTAGATAATCAGTTGTATCCACGGCATTATTTTGCTGCTTTCAGCAGAAAATTGAACGCAAAATTCTGTTTGGAGTTGATTTCAAAATTTTGTTAACTATTTGGCGTATTCCATGTAAAAAATTAGGTGTTCACTATATCGCGCTGTCCGATATACCCAAACACGACTGTATATTTATAAAATTGATATGAAAATAGTTAATATTATGTATTTCAGTAATCACACGTATCTATATTTATATTCGATAACTCTTTACATGGTATTTAAGTTCAAGAAATACTCATAATATAAGACATGGTCACATTATCTTGCACATAATAACATATGTAGCCAAGTTTCCTTTTTATTCATTTTTATTGTAAAGAAAACTTCATAAACAAAATTCTTCAGCTTTTATAGAAATAGTGAAAATATTGTAAATATTGAGAAATAACTATTTTGCTGCTTTTTATGCCATCGTAACTCCAACACACGCTATATGTTGAAAGTATTATGTATCTTTATATAAATATACCTGATTAAGTAGCACTCCATTGTGCTTGATTTGGTTGCAAGTAATTGATTTAAATCATACATATAAAAAAAAAATTGCAATGTGTGCACATTTATTTTCTGAAATTTATTTGAACTGTGTAACTGTGTAACTGTGATGTAACAAAGCAGAAAAAATTGTTATTGAAGTGCGTCTGTTGCACTCAGGCATATGTAATGCTTTGTAGAAGCACTACAAAGGTTTATGGTATATGTTACATAAATGCATGTAAGTGTTTAATTTGATTATATATTTATTCCAATCATATTTACTGTAGCTGAAGGACTTTCATATCACAAATAAAATGTATAAACTTAACAAACTTAAAAAAAATTAAGTTTCTCAATTTTTCTTTTGTTTTTTGTTTGTTTAATATTAATGCAAATTTTAATTAATACTTTTACATAAAAATGAAATTGGATTGTAGTTAATCTGATGCTAAAAAATAATTTTTTTTCCAGTTACTATAAGTAAAGTTTATATTCAATGCAATCATAACACAACCGCTGATTTTAAAATATATAAAAAAAAATGTTTTTATAAATAACTAGGATTATTGTTTCAATGATTCACATATTGTATATAGATTTTTAAAATTGGAACTTGAACTCATACGTAGTTTCGTTTTTAAATATACCAAGTGACTCTGGTTCGCAGTGTCGTACCCAGGGTTGGAGGTTTTACTAGAAAATGTGCATTATTTGTAGGTTAATATATCTACAAGATCCATCCTTGAGATAGATCGAGAAGTGATCTATCTCGTAATATTTCTTTGTGCCACTATTTGTCTTTTCAATTTTTCCAATATTCGATTATAAAAATTCACTTTAATAGTACTCAAGCTTTTGTAACAAGCTTTTGTAATTTTACAAGTTAATGAAATAATAAAATTGTCATTTTAAAATTTTAGTTATAAAAAAATTGTTATTGACGTAACAATGCTAATTTTGACATAGCTATTTGAGATAGTTCTAATATTGAAATTATGTTTAGTGAATTCTTAATAATACTTACGAAAGAAGGTTATCACCCAAATGCTTGTTAAAAGCAGTTTAGAATGGCTTAAACTTGAAGATATTGTGAAAAACATCCAAAAAAGTGCATTTCTCAAGGTATTAGATAATTGCGTATAAGAAATCGAAAAGTTTGTTTAAAATGTAGATGATTCGATAGACCGCTACTAAAAAAAACATTGTTGATCATGGTCAAAAATCTCATATAACTGAATGACTCAATACAATATTACATGTAGATTTAGGTATTTCAAGTGTTGAATGCCATATTTGAATAAATACTACTATAAGTTGATCATTTTTGGACAATAGTGTGTAAATATTTAAGCCTAAGAAGATTTTTAGGTGTTGGATGCAGCACCTATAATAACAAGTCTCTTCAGTGTTATCAATCTCTAA